CGTTCCAACTATTAATGAATGTTTGCAGCTGTTTCCTCCCATTTTGAGTCATGTCTCATCAAAAATGAAGGTTCCAAAAGTTTTACTCAATTCAAGTCATTTTACACATTCAAGTCCTCTACTTTGAGGAGGTAGCTCTTCCTAGTCACATTTTGAGTGATTTCTAATCTAAGGGACTCATCTTCCAGCACTGTATCTGACAATGTTTCAGGGCTACTCATAAAGTTTTCCAGTAATACATCAGACAGTGTTTCACAGCTATTCATAAGGTTTTCAGTGTCCAATTTTTTCATAAGTGGATGGCTCTGTCCTTCTTCCCAGGCTATCTTAGTCTGGAAGCTCTGCAGAAACCTGTACATGATGGGCGACCCTGCTGGCATAGCCTCCAACCTCACAGCAACACACAAGTCACCACAGTATGATAAACCGACAGAATGGTGGTGGCAGTAAAGGGTAGTTATTATAAAAAGGAGAGATAGAGAACATTGTCAATTGACTAGATGATAGCTGTTCTCTGGGATACACTGTGTTGCAAGGCTGTATTTTATTTCCCACCTAAGATTTCAAAGAAAATTTCAAATCATGACACCCTACGTTCTCTGTGATCACTACTCATTGCCTCTGAAGCAGCTGACACTTATAATGGACTTGATCTTCCACTTTTACTTTTTCTGACTACCCCCCACCAACTACCACTTGTTGGCCAGGAGCAAGCTTCTAGCTCCTTGTACGGGAGGTTCTAGAGTCCTCTTAACTAAAAAGACAAATCTCTCGTGTAGCTCATCACTGGGGGCAGTGAAAGGAATATATAGTTTAAGACAGATCAGACTGCTATTAACAGAAAGCACATATACTTTGAAATTATGACGCCCTGGGCTCAAATATTGCCTCATCTCGTAGAAACTATCTATACTGGTCTAGTCATATGATCTGAATTAAACTACCAGTTTCTTTATTTGTAAAAGGGGAGTACTATGAGGTTTATAAGGAGCTCTGGTAGCATAGTGCCTAAGGCACTTGACTGCTGACCAGAAGGCTGGCGGTTCAAACCCACCAGCCACTCCTCGGAAGGAAGGTTGGGCAATCCTACTTCCGTAGTGATACTGCCTCGGAAACCCAAGGAGGGGTCGCTATGAGTCTGGGCCGACTCGACGGCAAACAACAACAACATGAGGTTTATGGAGCTCTGGTAGTGTAGTGCCTAAGGCACTTGACTGCTAACCAGAAAGCTGGCAGTTCAAACCTACCTGCCACTCCTCGGAAGGAAGGTTGGGCAATCTACTTCCGTAGTGATACTGCCTTGGAAACCCAAGGAGGCGTCACTATGAGTTGGGTCCGACTGGACGGCACATAACAACAACAACATGAGGCTTATGATTAATGAAGATTAGAATTAATACAATTAATACCTTTTAGCATAACCATTATTTTTGCTATAAACAATAATAACAAATGTTGAACATAATGCACTATATCTGCCATTATGTTTACCAATTATTTTACTTGGATCTTCTATTTCCAGCAATACGGAGGAAAAAGTAAGCTAAAATTCTGCCTACTACACAACACCTAGAGAATTGGATAAAGTATAACAAACACCTCATTCATTGGCACAGTTGAGATTTTAGGAAAGAAAAAAACTAAACCCAGGGGTCAAAAAAATAAAGAGAAAACTGAGTAGTGAGTTAATGTTGGGCTGCTCTGGGAAGGCTTTTTGGTCTGGGCAATCAAAGAAATTGCTTCTGTCAGCCACTTGGGTATGGGAGATGAAGCTTTGGGCCCTGGAAAGACCAAGAGCTGAAACTCAAATACCCCTGCTTAAAGGTGATGGGATCTTAGAGAAAATAATTATATTTTTAATTTAAAAGAAAAAAATCAATCCAAAACTTCAGAGAGACAATAAGAAAGTTTGGGTTGAAAAAAAAGTCTCTCTACAAATTTGAAACCTTGGCCACGTGAAGTCTAAATTTATACTGCTTTTCTGGAGTTTATACTACCTGTGTGGTCCTAGAATCTCCAGCAGAAAAATTAACTTATAACATAGTTCCACACACTGATTATATTCCTTGGTGATTAATGGAAACAAAGACAATCCTCCATCCCTCTGAAGGAATATTAATTATCTCATTTAATTCTCACAGCTGTCCTATTAAATAGGTAATATTATCTTAGGTTAGAAAAAAAATGCAGTTTAGAGAGGTTAACCAATTTGTCCAAATTCAACCAGTTATTACCTGACAAAGCTGGACTTTGAACCTGGCTGTTCACAAACAGCCCTTGTGGTGCAGTGGTTAAAGCTGTATAGGCTAAGAGGTTGGTGGTTCTAACCCAACCAGTGGCTCTGTGGGAGGAAGATATGGCAGTCTGCTTCTACAAAGATATAGATCCTTGGAAATTTATTGGGGTAAGTACTACTTTGTTCTACAGGGTCACTATGTGTTAGAATAAACTAGAATGCAATGAGATTTTTCTGTTGCTCATGCTATTGAAACACATTTACCAAGTCACACCAAACACAAACAAGGTCTGTTTCCTTTTCAATATATCACACAGCCTACTCTTCTTTGTGCAAATCAATAGATAAATCCAACTATTTTCTTCCTTCTTAAATTTAGCAACTCAGTAAGAATAAAGGATCATAGCAAACTGGAAACCAACGCCCCAAAGGATTCCCTAGATTCTGTCTGCCAAAGCAGCTCAGTTCTCTCAGGCAAAGGAATTTAGTTTGCTGAACACCCTGAACTGGAAGAGGGGAAAATCAACAGGCTTCCTGAGCTACTGGGGTGTGAGGTAATACCCAATGGGTCCTGGTTACTGGAATCAATTTATTAGTGTAAATATACAATAGAAGTTCGAACAAAAATATTTACTTTTAAAGTTAAATAATAAAGACAATGATGCTGTTATGAAGAACAAAATATGTGAAATTGAAAGGATGAGGGCTGCAATCATATCAGGCTCAACTTATAATATATTTCTTAACGTTTATGGGTTGCATAGCAGTGAGAAATCCTGATTTACAAACATAAGCAGCTATGATTTATAAAACATAAACAGCTTTTTTTTTTAATTAACATGTATTCTCAGAAACTTAATACACTGATCATCTTACATGTGTGCATGCACTATCAAAATAGTTTTAAATATTTTTTAAAATCAAATGAAATGTCTGAGGAATCTCTGAAGCACTCCCCTAGGGTTCTTAAAGAATAAACTTTAGAAACAGTCAGACAAGAGTTCTCTGATTCCTTCAGTTCTGAATCTAGGATTCTACCCACCATTATTCTTGTTGTTAGTTGCCATCAAGTTGGTTCCAACTGCTAGCAACTCCATGTGTGTAGAGTAGAACTACCCCACAGGGCTTTCAAGGCTGTGACCTCAAGCCCCTTTGTGGAGGAGGCTCTGGGTGGGTTCAAATAGCCAACCTTTAGGCTAGCAGTCTGCACTTAATATTCACACCATCTCAGCTAATCTCAAGTACTCACCATACCCTGTCACTGTACCTTCTTACCTCTACATGTTCGTTTAAACTATTACCTTCACCGTGGATTTAAACTCAGTATATTCTTGAAGACTTATGTGCCTAAGCACTATGCTAGACAATTATAAACATTTTCATTCACTCCACTGCCACGATCCTACCTACCTTTGTTGCTACTGTTATGTGCCATCAAGTCGGACCCGACTCACAGCGACCCCTCCTTGGGTTTCCGAGGCATTATCACTACGGAAGCAGTTTGCCCCATCCTCCTTCCGAGGAGTGACTGGTTGGTTTGAACCTCAAGTTTTCTGGTTAGCAGTCAAGTGCCTTAGGCACTACGCTACCAGAGCTCCTTACCCATCTTTAGTTATTTGTAAACAATAATAGCCATGATTAAGCACTTGCTTTGTGCTAAGTATTAAATGCTGAGCACCTGACACTAGCTTATTTAATCCTTACAACAGCCCTATGAAATAGGGCAATACTATTACCCTTGTTAGGAGCTCTGGTAGCATAGTGGCTAAGGCACTTGACTGCTAACCAGAAGGCTGGTGGTTCAAACCCACCAGCCACTCCTCGGAAGGAAGGTTGGGCAATTCTACTTCCGTAGTGATACTGCCTCAGAAACCCAAGGAGGGGTCGCTATGAGTCGGGGCCGACTCGATGGCAAACAACAACATTACCCTTGTTAGGAGCTCTGGTAGCCTAGTGCCTAAAGGCACTTGACTGTTAATCAGAAGTCTGGCGGTTCAAACCCACCAGCCACTCCTCAGAAGGAAGGTTGGGCAATCTACTTCCGTAGTGATACTGCCTCAGAAACCCCAGGAGGGGTCACTATGAGTCAGGTCTGACTCAATGGTACACAACAACAACATTACCTTCATTTTATACACGAAAACACTACAGCTTTAGACAATGAAAAAATCTGCCTCAAGTCAAGTAAGGAAGAGAATGCTTCTTAGAAAAGTGTTACCTGAGCTCAGAGCTGACTTCTTAAAAAATAAGGTAAAATTGTCTGAAGACAAAGGCATTCCAGACAGAAGGACAACATAAGTAAAAGCAGAAACATAGGAAACAGTTTAGTATACAGTTCAGGAAAAAGATCAGCCTTTAGAATCAGGAGGGCTGGGTTTAAGCATCTATTTTCATCTTGTTTTGTGGCTTCTTACTGTAACTGTGGTTTTCTCATCTGTAAAATGGTGGTAAGTTGCACTTTATAGAACTGCTTTAGGGTTAAAGTGAAATAAAGTAAGTGAATGTGAAAGTGCCTTGCACAAGGCCAAGCCTATGGTAGGTACTCCATAAATGTGTCCTCTTTCCTTCCCTCTAGTTGACAATTCAATAGTGTTATTCTCAAGAATGTCATTTTCATCTCTACTATATCCCACACCTCCAAGTTTCTAAGCTCTACCAGGGCAGCTTTACAGAGATTTAGTATACCAACAGTCATTCACCAAGTTGTTTGGTAACATCCTTAGTCACCATTTCTCAAAGTGAGAGTCATTTTTACACCACTCACCTGTGTAGGCCATGTTCTTAGGGTTGCCATAGGGAGCCCCAGGCTGCACGGGGCTGTAAACAGGGTTCATTGTGGAAGACTGAGAATCCTACAGACAAAGCAAAGAAAACAGAATTGACTACTGACTGCTCATTCTCCCCAATAGCAGTTTCCCCTCTGTAATATCCAGTTTATGCTCAAAAGGAAGCATCATCATGGTGTTGGAGAAAGGGGACCAAACAAAAACTCATTTTTTTGTACTTGGCCCTAGGCTAGATACTTTTCCCATCTTATAGATAAAGATACTGAAAAGCAGGGTAGTGCAATAACTTACCTAATGTCAACCCAGGCCTTCTGACTCTCAGTTCAGTATCAATCTCAATAGGCCACAGATTACTACTGTCACTAGCATACTATGTGGCATTCATCAAGTCACTTCCCTCTCTAAACTTCAAGGTCCTGGTATAAAACGAGAGAACTGGTTTAGGATCTCTGAATCCCCATGTAACTCTAAAGATGCTAGTCCAAGAGCTGGGAAGGATGCACTTCTACTGTTCATTGGGGAAGCCCAAGTGCCTGGGGATAAGCACACACACTTCTGGAAAGAAAAGCAAATGTCTTACTCACCCCTCACACCTGCACAGGACAAGATACCAGTTATTAATAGCTTTGGTAAAAATGGGAATTCATTGCCAGTGATCATTTTAATGCAAAGAAGGAAACACAGCCAGGATCTCTTTCCAAATTTATTCACAGGAAAGAAATAATGTTGAAAATTTGTGTGCAATAAGTATCACCTGCACAAAAAGCCCTGTTAATTATCTTAATGAAGCACATTCTCCATTCTGATTAATGGAAAATCCAACATTAAACTCTATTAGCCAGTCAATTTGTCCCACCTTGTTTCAGAACCATTTCTGACACATAGGCTGACACATGTTTGAAAATGTGTCTCCCGCTATATTATTTACACATCATAAAAATCAAACAATTCCCTCCTAACTAAGCTCACATGATAGATGGACAATTTTTTGGGTTATTAACTTTTCCTGTAACACCTCAAGATAGGAAACAAGTTAAATGTTGAAGGCAGGCAGTCAACAGCTGGTTTTATGAGAAATGCTCTGCGATTAATTAGTCTGCCCAGGATTCTGGAGTAAGAAGCGAAGAAACAATGGTTTCCGTAGGAAAGGAAGCTGGGGTAGTTAGACAGGTAAAAGCTACAATAAACAAAAATACAACGCACTGCCATCAAGTCGGATTCGACTCATAGTGACCCCTCCTTGGGTTTCCGAGGCCGTATCACTATGGAAGTAGATTACCCAACTTTCCTTCCAAAGCTACAATACTACTGATCAATTTCAGAGGCTACAACTTCTGGAAATGTAGCTCAAGTTCAGCTCTGGCAAACCACCCCTGGGCAATGAGCTAGATTAAACTGGCATCAGCTGACAAACTGAAAGTAGGACAACCTGAGGGTAAAAGTTTAAGGGAGGTACGTATTTCATCTCAACTGAAGTTTCAAAAAAACACATTCTTACAACCAGTTATTCAAGAACACAGTCAAGCAACATTCTATCTCTAAATATTAGCACTCACCTCACAGATACTGAGAGAATTGAGAGATCATAGTTGTTAAAATCGCAAACTATAAAGTACCATGCAGATATGAATAATGATGATGATACAGTGATAACAAAGAAGATTGCCTGTACATTTTGCCTGCCTTTCAACTCTCCTCTACCCAACCAGTTCTTTGCCTAATACAACAGGAAAAGGAAAACTGCTAAAGTAGTAAGCTGTACATCTAGCCCTGTAAACTTCCCTACTGAGAAGGCACTCTGTCACTGACTGGACAAAGTAAGAAACTGTTTTCATAACCAAAGAAACACATCTGTTTTGAAAATGGTCTCCTGTTTCTCAAAAATGAGAAGCACAGCCACAGGAGATGGTGTCTGGGGCAGCACTCTGTAAGAGCCTTAATTCCAATGCCAATGACTGACTGACAGAAATGAGAGCTGCCAGGAATTCAAACCACCACTTGTCTGTTTATCACACTATAGTGGCTTATGTGTTACTGTGATGCTCGAAGCTGTCACTGGTATTATTCAAATACCAGTGACCCCAGCAGGGTCACTCATGGTGGGCAGGTTTCAGTGGAGCTTTCAGCTAAGAGACTAGGAAGAACAACGTAGCAAGGGTCCATTTCGGGGGGGGGGGGGGCTGGCCAATGAAAACCTTATGAACAGCAGGGAAACACTGTCTGTTATCGTTCTGAAGATGAGCCCCTCAGGTTGGAAGACAAATAGTCCAAACAGGACTAGGGAGGAGCTGTCTCCTCAAAGTAGCTTAATGATGTAGATGGAGTAAAGCTTTCAGGACCTTCATCTGCTGATAGGGAATGACTCAAAATGGGAGGAAAAAGCTGCAAACATTCATTAATAGTTGGAATGTGGAATATATGGAGTATGAATCTAGAAAAACTGGAATTTGTCAAAAATGAAATGGAATGCATAAAAATCGATATGCTAGGTATTTGTCAGTTGAAATGGACTGGTATTGGCCATTCTGAATTGGACAATCATATGGTCTACTATACTGGTAATGACAAACTGAAGAGGAATGGTGACAAATTCCTCATCAAAAAGAATGTTTCACAGGAAACACAGGAAGGGGATAGAATGCTATTACGCTGGGGATATTGTAAGCAATGTCATGAAACAGAACGTGTTAGGACTCGATGAATGGAAAACCAACGTGCGCTGTAAACTTTCACCCAAATCACAATAAAAAGTTTAACAACAACAAAAAGAAAACAGAACAAAACAAAAGAATGTTTCAAGATCTATCCTGAAGTACAACGCTGTCAGTGACAGAATAATATCCATACACCTACAAGGAAGACCAGTTACTATGACTATTGTCCAAATTTATACACTAACCACTAAAGGCAAGGATGAAGAAATGTTAGATTTTTTACCAACTTCTACAATCTGAAATTGACAAAACATGTAATCAAGATGTATTGATAATTACTGGTAATTGGAATATGAAAGCTGGAAACAAAGATGACTCATTGGTAGTTGAAAATATGGCTAAGGCAAAAATGACACCAAAGATTGCATGACAGAATTTCACACAGCCAATCACTTAATCAATGCAAATATCCTTTTTAAACATAAATGGTGACTATCCACAAGGACTTTACCAATGGAATACAAAGGAATCAAATCGACTACATTTGTGGAAAAAGATGATGGAGATCATCAGTATCATCAGACAGAAAAGGCCAGGAGCCAACTATGGATCAAACAATCAAGTGCTAATATCTAAGTTTAAATTCAGGATGAAGAAAATTAAAACAAGTCCATAAGAGCCAAAATACAACCTTAAGTATATCCCACCCGAATTGAGAGTTCATTTGAAAACAGATTTGATGCACTGAACACAAGTGACTGAAGACCAGATGAGTTGTGGGATGATATTAAGGACAGCAAACATGAAGAAAGCAAAAGGTCATTAAAGAGAAAAGGAAGAGAAGACCAAAACAGATGTCAGAAGAGACTCTGAAACTTGCTCTTGAATGGATAGTAGCTATTCTGATTACCTAGTGTTGCTCTGACAAGAATATACCACAAATGGGATGGCCTTAACAAACAGGAGTTTATTCTTACAATTTTGAGGCTTTAAGTCCAAATTCAAAGAGCCAGGCTCTAGGGGCTGGGTGAAAGCCCCTCAACCTTGGAGTCCAGCTCTGCCTCCTGCTCCTGGCCCACTAGAGGTGTTTCTTCACTCAGACAACTGCTGGCTGCCGAGGCTGAGAAGCTCCAAGGTTGACAAGTAAAAAGGCACGGTCCTGATGTTACCAAAACACACGGCAGACCATTAACTTACGTCCATTGTAAGTCCCAAGGTCAGCAGAGCATAGCAGGCTGCTGAGCAATGACACAGCTACATGCAGAGTCCAAGCGTGCCATAGGTTCAAGACCATTCCCAAGGCTTCTCCTTATATACCGGAAGCAGACCACATCCCAAAGGCAGCTACTCAGCTGCTTGTGGTAGATCCCACTATAGAGCTGACTGCCAGTCTCATCATGGGGAATAACTACCACCAGCTGCCCAGCCACTCAACCGGGCCCAGCCAAGTTGACACAGAAACATAACTACCACAGTAGCTAAAGCAAATGGATGAAATGATGAGGTAAAAGAGCTGAACAGAAGATTTCAAAGGCAGCACATGAGGACGGAGTAAAGTATTATAATAAAATGTGTAAAGACCTGAAGTGGGAAAATCAAAGGGAAAGAACGTTTAGCATTTCTCAAGCTGAAAGAACCAAAGAAAAAATTCAAGGCTCAAATTGCAATAGTGAAGGATTATAATGGAAAAATATTGAACAATGCAGGAAGCATCAAAAGACTATAAAAGGAATACACAGAGTCACTGTACCAAAAAAAAATTGCTCAATGTTCAACCCTTTCAGGAGGTAGAATATGATCAAGAAGAACCAATGGTACTGAAGAAAGAAGTCCCAGCTGCACTGAAAGAACTGGTGAAAAACAAGGCTCCAGGAACTGACAAAAAAACTGAGACGTCTTAATAAATAGGTACAGTGTTGGAAGCACTCATTTGTTTACGCCAAGAAATGTGGCAGATAGCTACCTGGCCAACCAACAGGAAGAGATCTGTATGTGTCTCCATTCCAAAGAAAAGTGATCCAACATAATGTGGAAAATTATCAAATAGTATCATTAATATCACATACAAGTAAAATTTTGCTGAGGATAACTGAAAAACAGATGCAACAGTACACTGACAGGGAACTGCTGTCAAGCCAGATTCAAGCCAAATTCAGAAGAGGGCAAGGAATGAGGGATATCTTGCTGATATCAGATGGATCTTGGCTGAAAAAAGAAAAGACCAAAAACATGTCTACGAATGTTTTAAGGGGCAAGGTTGTGGTGACTTCTTGGCCACAGCCACCTATGCGGAGGGAGTGAATAGCTGGACCTGCGGGCTCGGGACCATGGTTGCAGAGAAAATCAAGCTGAACTGGCATAACATACTACACAAAAACATTGTTCTACATCCTACTTTGG